CACTCCACTGGCCGAGCCAGTCTCTTCCAAGGGGATTACCTAGAAACAAACAAGAGGGTCTTGTGCCCCCTCCCTGTACCCATGCCTGCCACAATCGCTGAATATACCAGAGCCTTGTCCGAGACTCAGCAGCATGCCATGACCACACCGGGCCCCACGGCCACCTTCTCAGCGGGCCTCCTGCCGTGCCCGCCGTCCCCTCTGCCCTGCCTGCAGACCTCTCACACAGTCTGGCCAACACTGGATTCTAACTCGTTTTTAAACGTATCTGTCTCTCCCACTGTGCTCCAATGTCCTCCCCAGAGCCCAATCCCTCCTGTGACAGGAAGGTTCTGGAAGGTTTTCCGGACTGACCAGGGAAACCACAGCTGACCACCTCTACCCCCAAAGGCCCTGTCAGACCAGGAGTTCTCAGACCTTGTCTACAGGGAGGGTCCCAGGGCTCATCCCCAGGGAGGCCACATTCAGCACCAGGTGTCCCTGCACTGACCACAGTGTCAGCTGGCAGTGGACTGTCGGGTGATGCTCACTCCCCCAGATGGGGAGGATGGACATCGGCCAGAGACCCCTCACAGACCTTCACGGGCTTCTAACAACCAGAAAACTCTCCAGCAACATTCTTTCCCAGCTATGATTTTTCCATGCACGCCCTTTAAGATTAAAGTATTACATCCGCATACTGAAAACCTCACAGTACGAAAGGCCTGGCACGAAGAGTAAAAGCCTCCAGCAACTTCTCGTGCACAAGTTGGACGCCCGCATGCACGCCCGCGTCGTGCACTCAGCCCTGCATCCCGGAGATCTCCCTGTCTGCACGTGGAGTCCGCCCCTCCTTTCTCAAGGCTGCGCAGTTCTCCAGCAGAGGACCGCGTCAGAATGTAAGCCGCTCTCTTCCTCCTGAGGGACATGCAGGCTATCACAGCACAGGACTTTTCCATGAACACCCTCGTATATAAACCCTGGTGTGTCTTGAGATTCTCTCTAGAGAAAATCCCTAACAGTGCGGAGTCAAAGGACACACACGTAATTCACATTTGATGGGTATTTCCAAACTGCCGCCTTCAGAAGCCACACACACTTTCACTCCCAACACGACGAACAGATTGGTTCCCACGTCCTCGTCAAAACTAGGTATCACCCATTTTAAAATATCTGCATTTCTGACAAATGGATCTCAACAGCGTTTTTATTCGTGCTATTTTTCCCGAGGCTCAGCACCTTTTCATATTTTATTGGCAGCCGACACTACCTTTCCTCTGCACGGCCTGACAATTCCTGTGCCCGTCTTTCTATCTGGCTGCTGGTCTTGCTCTTCTCGTGTTATGCAAGTTCCTTGTAAATTATGGACATCAACTGCTCTCTGTCATTGCTGTGGCAATGTCTCTGAGCTTAATGACTTTGTCATGAAATACAAAGAAATTCTGTATCTGCACATGGTCATATTTACCCATTTTTCCCTTCACGGCTCTGCTACTGTCGGGTTTTTAAAAGGCTGGTATGAAGAAATGACACGCCGAGATGTCCAGTGTGAAGACACTCAGTGCCCGGTGTCACGCCACCTTGACACGGCAGCGTCTTCCCAGAACCCAGGACTCACTGGAGTCCCCACAGTGGGTCACTCTGTGACAGGTCCTCACGACGGGCAGTAACAGGTCTCTCAGGAGAGGCCTCTGAGCAGATCAGCAAGGCCACATTTCAGATGACTGATGGGTTCTGCCAGACACTGCCATGCAGTGTGGTGCCCTATTTGGAGACCAACTCAGACAGACAAAATAAAAACACATTCACGACACTGTCTGAGTCTGCTCGGGCTGCCATAACAAAACACCACAGGCCAGGCAGTTCGAACAACAGACGTTTATTTATCACAGCTCTGGAGGATGGAAGTCCAAGGTCACGGTGCCGCTGATCCAGTGCCCGGCGTTCAGAGGGTGACTTCTCACCGTGACCTCACACGGCAGAGAGAGGGAGGGCGGGCTCTGGCCTTTCTTCCTCTTCTCACTAATCCCATTGTATCAGGGCCCCACCCTCATGACCTCACTTTACCTTAATTACCTCCTAAAGACTGTCTCCAAATACAGTCACCCTGGAGGTTAGGGCTTCAACACATGAATTTGGGAACAAGATTCAGCCCACAGCAGACAGGAGTGAGACAGCTAGATATTCTTAAAAACTGGACAGTGATGACATTAAACTTTATTATCAATTTTTTTGAATAAAAAAGAAAGAAATCAGATGCTGTCGAAGGGGTGCTGTAGTGTATCCCCAATGCCCCTCCAGGACCCAGGCTCTGGGATGTCGGGTGTCGCTGGCTCGCAGCTAAGGCCCTGCCCTCAAACACCCTGTCCCAACCAATATCCCTCTGCCCAGGAGTCTGCCTCCCCCAAATTGCATCGTCCTTGCTGGGACAGGCGCATCCAGTGACCGACCAGTGTGCAGATGCAGTGACCACCAGCTGGTCCAATGCAGGCCATCTCTGCGGGGATGCCCCAGCTTGGAGCGCACTGTGGGGTGGGCTGAGGGCTCGCTACAATGGCATGGCAGCCCGACCTCCCCTCTGTCCAGTGCCACCCAGTGCCCTGTGTGTGGCTCCTGAGAAGGCCCCTCCTCTCACCTGCCACATCCAGATCTCGGGGTCACCGAATCTGTTTCCCAGGGAAGCCAACCTCAGATGGATACTGACTTTAGTAAGCACAATTAACTAATTAGTTTAAGCAAATCCTTCCAGTCCTCCATTTCATCGCTTCCAACCAGCTCGTTTTTTTGAGGAACAGATGAAAGTGACTTGTAATTAGGATAGCAGTCATGAGAAACAAGAGGAGCTTCTGGAAAACCTGAGTTTTCCCTCCACTTTCAGCAGGTAACTCCCTCTCCTCATTACCAGGCTGCAACACCTAACGCGTAACCAGCTAAGCAAAGGTGACTCCAGTCTGAGCCCTCCCCAAAACAAAGAGAGCACCTTTTCCTGAATGTCATGGCCACCCACGGGCCACCACTCCAGGAACCCCCAGGGCTGCAGGCACTGAGACCGGACCCCCAGGGCAGGAGCAGGGCTTGCTCCTCCACCCACCTGTTCTGCACTGGCAAGGGCTGACCCTACAGAAATGGAGCAGAGCTGGCTTCCTGCCTGCTCAGAGTTCAAGCCAAAGGACGGCAGCCCCCGGGGGGCCCCGGACCCTCCCGGGCTCCCAGCATCCAGGGAAGCCGTCCACCTCCTCGCAGGCTCCCGTTACCAAGGGCTCTGCTGGGCACAGGCACGGGGCTCAGCGACCCCACTGGGGGCTGTGTGCACACATGTGCTCACATGCACATGGCACAACACAGGCTGTGCACACGCTCATAACCTCCCGCACGCACTCACACACGCGGCCTTCCACACACACTCATGCACGTGCACACTCACAGCCGCCCACGCGCACACACGATGCACACTGGCGCACACACGACGCACACTGGCGCACACTCACACACGCGGCCTTCCACACACACTCATGCACGTGCACACAGACGGCCGCCCACGTGCACACACGATGCACACTGGCACGCACTCACACATGTGGCCTTCCACACACAGTCATGCACATGCACACACACACTCACAGCCGCCCACGCGCACACACGACGCACACTGGCACGCACTCACACACGCGGCCTTCCACACACAGTCATGCACATGCACACACACTCAGCCGCCCACGCGCACACACGACGCACACTGGCACGCACTCACACACGTGGCCTTCCACACACACTCATGCACGTGCACACACACAGCCACCCACGCGCACACACGACGCACACTGGCACGCACTCACACACGCGGCCTTCCACACACACTCATGCACATGCACGTGCACACTCACAGCCGCCCACGCGCACACACGACGCACACTGGCACACACTCTCGCACGTGCAGTCAGTGCACCTGGTCTCTCCAGGTGGGCGGCCTGCAGCCCTCCTAAATTCTGCGCATGAATTTCAGGGACGAAGTTTAGGGTTCACTCCTCGAAAAACTTCAAAGTCTCTCACTTCTGCTTGACAAACATGTGACACTGGGAGCGCTTGCTTTCCAAGTCCAGCT